ATAATACGTAAGGGGGGATATGATCTCCATGTATAATACATAAGGGGGAATATGATCTCCATGTATAATACATAAGGGGGGGGTATGATCTCCATGTATAATACATAAGGGGGGGATATGCTCTCCATGTATAATACATAAGGGGGGATATGATCTCCATGTATAATACATAAGGGGGGGGGGTATGATCTCCATGTATAATACATAAGGGGGGATATGATCTCCATGTATAATACATAAGGGGGGGTATGATCTCCATGTATAATACATAAGGGGGATATGATCTCCATGTATAATACGTAAGGGGGGATATGATCTCCATGTATAATACATAAGGGGGAATATGATCTCCATGTATAATACATAAGGGGGGGGTATGATCTCCATGTATAATACATAAGGGGGATATGATCTCCATGTATAATACGTAAGGGGGAATATGATCTCCATGTATAATACATAAGGGGGAATATGATCTCCATGTATAATACATAAGGGGGGATATGATCTCCATGTATAATACATAAGGGGGGATATGATCTCCATGTATAATACATAAGGGGGGGATATGATCTCCATGTATAATACATCAGTGGTTCATATAGTGAACTCGGTGTAGTTATTCCCCCTGAGGTCATCACAGAGGACAAGGGGGCATTCTTTATATCTGGAGGAAAAGAAATGTAACACGGAAAGGTTTCTTCGCAGTGAGAGCTGTGAAAATGTGGAATAGACTCCCTCAAGAGTTGGTTCTGGCCAGCTCAGTGGATTGCTTTAATAAAGTCCTGGATTCTTTCTTGGATACACAGAATATAACTGGATATAACATTTATAGGTAAAGTTGATCCAGGAAATATCCAATTGCCTCTCGGGGGATCAGGGAGGAATGTTTTCCCTGCAGGAGCAAATTGGATCATGCTTTGCTGGGTTTTTTGCCTTCCTCTGGATCAACTGTGGGTATAGGATTATATATTTTTTTTTCTTTTTTATGGTTGAACTGGATGGACTTTTGTCTTTTTTCAGCCAGACTAACTATGTAACTCTGGGGAAAATGTAAAAAAAATCCTTTACCCTAGATTCACACCTAAGCATTTTCTGCAGCGTTTTGCAGAAAAGCAGTACAGTCCATTTAACATGATTTCCTATGGGACATGTTCACATCTCTGCGTTTTCACCCGATGTGTTTTATGGAAAGGGTCAGGGACTTTTCTGAACGCAAAAAGTTGCTTTTTTTGTTTCTATAAACTGCAATGGAAATGCTGCAGAAAAGCATGTAGTGCGTTTTTGCTGCATTTTTTATGCATTTTAAATCTGCCTAGCAACAAGAGAAAAAAAAAATGCAAAACACAGCAAAAACGCAATGCAAAAATGGCTCAAATGCAACCTGAATAGGTGTGAACCTAGCCTTAAATGGGGATCCCCCCTGCACTGCAAGGGTTAAATGCTTTTTTGCCTGGGGTACCAGGAAAAAAAAAACGCATCTTATCTCTCCAACTTGCGGGTGGGCCCTCTGCGCCCCCTCACTTGCGCTTCACTTACAATGCAAAGGAATCCCCCCCACTGAGACATTGTATACCGACAGAATACGCTGATCGGGGCTGATCAAGGAAAATTTTCTAACAAGCCTGGTTGACAAAAGTCGATCTGATGAAAGTCTTCAGTTGAACAGGCACATGGATCGAAATTTCAATATAGCCACGGCCAGCTTAACTGTGGGGGCTCTTTCACATTTTTGGTGTCCTCTGAAGAGCGGTGTGCGCTCAGATTGCTTTTCAGAGGACATTTGGCAAGAGGTGCGAAAGTGTTATATCGCCTCCTTACCATGATTTAATCCAGTAAACGCCACACTACCAGGCCGCAATACCATGCACTGCACGCGGTTGCGGTCAGGTTGTGCCGCTTGTGTAACTCTATAGCTTAAGTTAAGCTGCTCATAGATGGTTCAAAATTCAGCCAGTTCAGCAGGGACCGACCATACTTCTATGGCAGTTCCCCCTCAAAAGAAGTTGATCTAATATTCAACTTCTGTCTAATGGAGCTGTTGGAAAACTTTTGGGAATCAGTGGCTTGCAGTCAATTGGCTGCACCTGCTGATTAATGTATTCTAACCCCCTGGTTCACATATATGCGGCCGTGCGGGCCGTGTTTTGCACGGGCACGAGAGCCCATTCATTTGAATGGACTCCCGTGCCCTGTAGGGAAGAAGTCCCTGCACTTCTTTGGAAACCGCAGACCGCATGGGAACCTCGGATCCCAGTACGGTTGCGTTTCCCAGTGCGGGTGGAGTGCCATTAGAACTAAAGACACCCGCCCGCGGGTCCGCATTTCTCTGTACGGGTGGTGTGGCTGCACGGATCTGCAGTGGCACCACCCGCACAGATGGGAACCAGGGGTCAGTGGAAGAGTCCCGCTGTCAGAATACAATGACAGAACAGGGAGAATTCTTCCATTCAGCTCACGTGTGGATGGAGCCCCACTGGACTGAAAAAATAAACCCTCTGGCCAGCCTAAAAAATGCCATGGCCGCTGAGCAAAGCGTGGTGGCTCCAGCATAAGAACAGCCCTGCCAAGATGTAATGTCAAGATTTGGTTGGGTGGCCTGGGGGGTGGAAAAACCACGGCTCAGTCGCCTGTTTTTACCACAACCCCACCAAGGCCTGACTGTGGTTTTCACATACAAAAAAAATCATGCATGTTGTAATGAAACCTGAGCAATACCGCTGGGATTACATTCAAATAGTCAATCTGGACGAACTTTTAAGGACTTTATAGCAAAAATAAAGCATTTTAACCAGAATTTTCGTAGGACAGTCTACTAGTTTATGGCCAGTTTAAAGAAGTCCTTTTATCACTTAGCTGTTACTGCTTACTGAACCAACATATAACCTTTGAGGCAAAATAATAAAATTATTATGAGTTTCAATCAATCACACAAGAAAGGTTTAAAGTGCAAACAACAACAAATGACTTTACTGACAAAGGCTGCAAACAGAGAAAAATAACAGTGCCAAAAAGGAAATGGCTTGCAGGAAAACAGTGCTTTGTGTACAAAACAATAATAATCCTCAACTAGGAATAAAATACTTAAAAGTGTAAAATAAACCAATAAAAGGGAGTGGCGGTGACCACTGGGCAGGCATATGGTCCTGATAGTGCTCATAGTTCTTTCCTGAGGGAAGATGGCATAGCCCCCAGTTCTTTCCTGAGGGAAGATGGCATAGCCCCCAGTTCTTTCCTGAGGGAAGATGGCATAGTCCCCAGTTCTTTCCTGAGGGAAGATGGCATAACCCCCAGTTCTTTCCTGAGGGAAGATGGCATAACCCCCAGTTCTTTCCTGAGGGAAGATGGCATAGTCCCCAGTTCTTTCCTGAGGGAAGATGGCATAGTCCCCAGTTCTTTCCTGAGGGAAGATGGCATAACCCCCAGTTCTTTCCTGAGGGAAGATGGCATAGCCCCCAGTTCTTTCCTGCAGGAAGATGGCATAGCCCCCAGTTCTTTCCTGAGGGAAGATGGCATAGCGCCCAGTTCTTTCCTGAGGGAAGATGGCATAGCGCCCAGTTCTTTCCTGAGGGAAGATGGCATAGCCCCCAGTTCTTTCCTGAGGGAAGATGGCATAACCCCCAGTTCTTTCCTGAGGGAAGATGGCATAGCGCCCGGTTCTTTCCTCAGGGAAGATGGCATAGCCCCCAGTTCTTTCCTGAGGGAAGATGGCATAGCCCCCAGTTCTTTCCTGAGGGAAGATGGCATAGCCCCCAGTTCTTTCCTGAGGGAAGATGGCATAACCCCCAGTTATTTCCTGAGGGAAGATGGCATAACCCAAAGTTCTTTCCTGAGGGAAGATGGCATAGCCCCCAGTTCTTTCCTGAGGGAAGATGGCATAGCCCCCAGTTCTTTCCTGAGGGAAGATGGCATAGCCCCCAGTTCTTTCCTGAGGGAAGATGGCATTGCCCCCAGTTCTTTCCTGAGGGAAGATGGCATAGCCCCCAGTTTTTGTTTTCCTGAAGGTAGATGGCATTACAGCTATTTATTTCCTAAGAACAGATGGCAAAAACCCCCAGTCCTTTCCCGAGGGCAGATGGCATTATCCCCAGTCCTTTCCTGCTGGCAGATGGCATTACTGCTGGTTCTTTCCTGAGGGTGGGTGGCATTACCTCCAGTCTTTTCCTGAGGGAAGATGGTATTACCTCCAGTATTTTTCTGTGGGCACTTGGCATTACCTCTAGTCCTTTCCTGAGGGAAGATGGCATTACTTCCAGTCCTTTCCTGAGGGAAGTTGGCATTACTTCCAGTCCTTTCCTGAAGGAAGGTGGCATTACCCCCAGGCTTTTCCTACTGGTAGATGGCATTACCCCAGATCCTCTAGGGCTGGCAGATGGCATTACCCCCAGTCCTTTCCTGCTGGTAGATGGCTTTGCCTCCAGACTTTTCCTTCTGGTAGTTGACATTATCCCAGATTCTCTATGGCTGGCAGATGGCATTGCCCCCAGTCTTTTTCTGCTGGTAGATGGCATTACCTCCAGGCTTTTCCTACTGGTAGATGGCATTACCCCAGATCCCCTATGGCTGGCAGATGGCATTACCCCCCAGGCCATTCCTGCTGGTAGATGGCATTACTTCAGGTCTTTTCTAGAGCTATGACATTTCCACCATTTTTTTTCTGAGGAGGGCAGATGGTATGGGGAGAAAGCATTTCCCTCTGTACTTTCTTGCTGGCAGTTGAGATTATTCTCAGTCTTTTTCTTTACTAGCAGTTGGCATTACCCCTGCACCACAGATGGAAATGCCCCCAGTCCTTTTCTCCAGTAAAGATGAAAAAGCTTTAGTCCTTTTCTGCACCATAGCTTGAATGACCCCCAGTCTTCTTTCTGCACCACTACTGGATGGAAATGCCCTCAGTTCTTTCCTTCAGCACAGATGTAAATGCCCACAGACCTTTTTTATTTGCCCAAAAGCTTTAACATCCCAATTTCCTTACCCTGGTCACGCCAGCAGTCCTTGACTCACTGCCTCTTAGAAGGAATGGCACTGGCTGCGGTCTTGTAGACAGAGGTGTAGTTCTTGGTGGTCATGGGGCAGAACCTCCTTGTGTGGGCTTTGTCTCCACTGGCACCACACTGTGGACAGGTGTAGGATCTGAGAACAGGGCAGAGAACGTTCCCCTGCTGATCCCGCAGATTGTGGGCAGTGAACACCCTCCAGTGCTCCCCATTGTGCCTGCAGAAGGTGCACTGCAAGCGTTCAGCGATCTTCTTAGGAGGATCACAGGAACCATCCCGACCTGGCTCTGCTGAGGTGGTACCATGGGAAGGCTCTGGGAGCTCCTCCTGCCGCTGGAAGTTCTCTTGGCTCTCCTGATCTGAAGTGTTCTTGAGGACTGTATGTAATCCTAGATAGTCCTTCCACATAGAAAACTGGGGGGCATCCGACCTCCGCACCTTCTTTCTATGCTCCATGTCTCTGCACAGCCTAACAACCTCGTGTGACTGAAGCTCGTGAGATACCCTCCTCCTTCTGTCCTCAGGAGAAACAAGAGCTGATAACACCCAACTGTGCACGTCCCTACAAATCTCCCCACCCAAAGTGACTGTCCCACCCAAAAAAACAAATATACTCTTATCAGACAAACACGGAGGTGACCCCAGACACAGCAGGCTCCAGACTCCCTGACTCTAGATTTGGCTACTAATTGTTTGGAGGAACTAAATAGGCAACTCTATGAAACCATTGCTATGTGGTCTTCATTATTATTATTATTATTATACAGTATTTATAAAGCGCCAACGGTTTGCTCAGCGCTGTACATTACAAAAGGGGACAGAACATGTGACAGAACAATACCAATACAATGCAAAACATGAGGGGATCTGTGATAAACAGGTCTTCATCTACACTAAAAAACGTCAAAACCCAACAGAAATCCTACCCTTCAAAATGTGGGAACCCAATCACCCAAATCTCACATAAGATCCATAGGATCAAGTCATTTGAAGTCATTTTCACTGTTTTATAAGTGGAATGTATAGCTATTTATAATATTTTATTGTTACTACTGATATTCAGGTTTATTATTTTATGTCTTGCATTATATACAATTTTACTTCTCTCTCAGCGCTCTCACAATTTGAATGACAATTGCGCGGTCATACAACACTGTACCCAAACTAAAATTTTATCATTTTCTTCACACAACTAGAGCTTTCTTTTGGTGGCATTTAATTACCACTGGGGTTTTTATTTTTTGCTAATTTGCTAATTAAACAAAAAAAGACCGAAAATTTGGAAAAAAAAATCTTTGTTTCTGGTATAAAAGTTTGCAAATAAATAATTGTTCTTCATAAATTTAGGCCGAGATGTATTCTGCTATATTTCTTTGGTGAAAATAACCCAAATTAGTATTTATTATTTAGTTTTTAGGAAAGTTATAGAGTTCACAAACTATGGGATATATCTGAAAATTGATTAATCCTGAAGTACTGACAGCCAATCTAATATCTTGAGGTCCAAGAATGTCAGAACAGTACAGATATCCCCCAAATGTCAGAACAGTACAGATATCCTCCAAATGTCAGAACAGTACAGATATCCTCCAAATGTCAGAACAGTACAGATATCCTCCAAATGTCAGAACAGTACAGATATCCTCCAAATGTCAGGACAGTACAGATATCCCCCAAATGTCAGGACAGTACAGATATCCTCCAAATGTCAGAACAGTACAGATATCCTCCAAATGTCAGAACAGTACAGATATCCCCCAAATGTCAGGACAGTACAGATATCCCCCAAATGTCAGGACAGTTCAGATATCCCCCAAATGTCAGGACAGTACAGATATCCCCCAAATGTCAGAACAGTACAGATATCCCCCAAATGTCAGAATAGTACAGATATCCCCCAAATGACCCCTTTTTGTAAAGTAGACAGTCCGACGTATTTCATAAGAGGCATGGCGAGTTTTTTGAAGTTGTCATTTTTTTGTCATAATTTTTCAGAAAATGAAGAAATTAAAAATATTATTTTCACTATTTTTTTTTTTACATACTGTCACCAGTGCAGTACAGCGTCATCATATAACTGACATGGCGGTGATCAGAGACACGAACTGGTGACAGTACAAAAAAACTGATAATTTTTTTTATAATTTTTAAAAAAATTGTATTATTTTTAATTTTTTATAACTTTTTTTCCTCTTTTTTTAAGATTTGTTTTCATATTGCACTGTTACCAAAGTAGTATAATGTTACTATACTAACATTGTACTACTTTGGGGAAGTGATCAGTATTTTTTTTTCTTTATTACACAATTTGCTTATAGCAAAGAATTACTTTGCTATAAGCAAGCATTTACCTGAATGAAATCGATTCATTCAGGGATTTTTTTTTTTTTGTGATTAGCTGTTATTTGGCTACGGCTGATCACATGACACAGCTGGGCTGTGATTGGCCCAGCTTGTGCATGTGATGACTGTGACCATTCACAGCTAGACACACTTGTATACAATGGATGGCATGAAAGGAAGCCATCCATTGTATACAACTGTCATGTGACCTGCTGTGATTTTTCACAGCATGGGGCTGGTACACAGATCACGGCCTGTGACAGATCTCCTCACAGCACGGCCCTGCGGGCATGCGCAATGCATGTTCTGTAAAGGACGCCATAAGGCATCCACCCGGAGGGATGAGCTGTTCGCCTGGCCGCCATCTGGCTATAGGCCGGGTGGCAACTGGTTAAACTAATAGTGAGCTGACAGTGTCTGCTGTAATCCGCATGTAGCCACATGCAGTGGCAGTTAGAGACAGATATCTGAGCCTGGGTCACATGTCTGATGAAGGGGTCCTGCGAGACTCCGAAACTTTGCCTTGCTGTAACTATGTGATAGTTCATTAAAACTTTTGGACCCATATTGGTGATCCCCGGTGTGCTGGTGACATCCTCCCTTGCAGATGTCTGAGCCCGGGGCAGCTGACTCCAAGACATAATGCAAGACAGTCAGACGTGTCCATGCTCAGGCTTCTGTCCCTTCCCACAACTACTTGCTTTGTGTGCGGCTACATGTGAACGGCAGTGGCCGCTGTAAGTCCTCACGCACACTGGACATTTTTACAGCGGCTGTTTTTGGCTTTTGGCATTTTTTTCTACAGCCAGTAAACTCCTCAGCATGTTATCCTATGTGTCCATGCACACACAGACTGTAATTAGCATTTTTTGGCTGGAAAAAAACCCCAGGACTATTGGGTTTTTAGAGGAGTTTTTTAGTTGTAAAATCGCTCTAACGCTGAAAAGCACGATAAAATGTGGCAAAGTGCAGTAAAACATGGAAAACCAGCATTTTTGGACTTTGAGCAAAAAAGAAAATTTTTTTATGGTAAAAAAAGCTACACAATGCAAATGCGGCTGAAGGCTAATGCAAAAATGCAAAAAAAACACTGAAAAACTTGCATTTTTAATGTGACTCCACACAGCTAACGCTACCAGCGTTATTAAAACGCTCCGTGTGCATGGAGCCTTAGCCTGCCATTGGTCTGAGTACCGGCTCGGTCATTCCAGCAGCAATATTCTGCTGATTCTTGCCACAAGAAAAAACTGGCGACCGCAGCTACCCTGCTGAGCGAAGGAGGCTTAATATTTTATTGTTACTACTATAATTAATCAGGTTTAATATACCATTAATATCATTATACAGGATTTATATAGTGCCAACAGTTTGTGCAGTGCTTTACAAAATGAAGGTAGACATTCTAGTCATAATACAATATGATACAATTTGATACAAGAGGAAACAGATGGCCCTGCTTGGTATACTATGGGGTTGATTTACTAAAGGCAAATAGACTGTGCACTTTGCAAAATGCAGATGCATGCTGCAAGTACAGTTGCTCCAGAGCTTAGTAAATGAGGTAATGCTTCACTTTGCAAAGAATACCCAATCACGTGCACGGAAAAAAAAAAACAACAACAGCGTTTTTGCCTGCAGATGAAGGCATAATGGAAGTCAGCAGAGCTTCTGCTCATTTAACTATGTAACTATTTACTACACTCTGGAGCAACTGCACTTTGCAAAGTACACAGTCTATTTGCCTTTAGTAAATCAACCCCTTTGTCTTGCATTATATACCATTTAATATCTATCTATCTATCTATCTATCTATCTATCTATCTATCTATCTATCTATCTATCTATCTATCTATGGATCTCTCTCTCTCTCCCCCCCTCCATCTATCTATCTATCTATCTATCTATCTATCTATCTATCTATCTATCTATCTATCTATCTATCTATCTATCTATCTATCTATCTAATCTATCCATCCATCCATCCATCCATCCATCCATCCATCCATCCATCCATCCATCCATCCATCTATCTATCTATCTATCTATCTATCTATCTATCTATCTATCTATTTCTATTTCTATTTCTATCTATCAATCTATCCCCCCCCTCTCTCTCTCTCTCTCCCCCCCCTCTATCTATCTATCTATCTATCTATCTATCTATCTATCTATCTATCTATCTATCTATCTATCTATCTATCTATCTGTCTGTCTGTCTGTCTGTCTGTCTGTCTGTCTGTCTGTCTGTCTGTCTGTCTGTCTGTCTATCAGTCTATCTATCTATCTATCTATCTATCTATCTATCTATCTATCTATCTATCTATCTATCTATCTATCTATCTCTATCTATCTATCTATCTCCTATCTATCTATCTATCTATCTATCTGTCTGTCGATTTATCTTTCTCTCTCTCTCTCTCTATCTGTCTATCGATCTATCTATTTCTATCTATCAATTTATCTATTGATCGATCTATCTATCTATCTATCTATCTATCTATCTATCTATCTATCTATCGATCTATCTATCTATTTCTATCTATCAATTTATCTATCGATCTATCTATCTGTCTTTCTATCTTATCTAATCCAGCCATTCTCAACCAGGGTTCCATGGAACTCTAAGGCTCATGTACACAGGGCTTTTGAAAAACTTTTCTGACCGCTGGAAACTGACTGCTGGAAAACTTAGGTTAAAAACGTCAGTTTAGCCGATTTTACCTACCGCGTTTATGTGCATTTGCATTTAGAAGCATTTATAAAAGATAACCTCAGGAGACCCTCCCAAATGCCCAGAATGTACTGAAAAATAGTAAATAATTAACTATTTCTGACATTTTGTGAGAAATAGAGCAGAAGCAGGGAGAGCACTAATTTCTGATGGGTGTTGCAACTGTAGCAAAAGTGGCTCGTGAAACATGCTTGGCGCTGTGGGAGGAGCTACATAGTGCTGCAATGCCTGTAATGCCTCCAGATGCATTCTGGAGTGCACACAACACTCCTTGTGCTTTTTTGCTGTGTTTTGATGTGTTCCAGTACAGTTCTGTGCAGAAATAATGCGGCAC